AAGCAACACTTCAAAAGTGTTCTAGTTACTATGAGAAGAATCCTGAGAGATTTTCCATCAACCTGTAAGTTAAGATATTCTGCAACAGGATTGAAAGCAAACCATTTGACCAAGAGTCGAAAAAGCAGCTGTTTAAGATCTCCTTCAATCCGAAATGTTGTGAACTGCTTAAGGGATCTATTGGTAGCTATTGAAATGGATATTCTTCTCTGACAAATGTTTCTTAAAGTTTGTACCAATCAAATCACAAACTGTCACTATAGGAGCCACATTGTAGAAATAATTTGCCCTTTAATAGAGAGAGAGCGAGTTTCTCTGATATATATATATATATATATATATATAGGCCTAACTTTCCAAAGATCTCAACCTTCAGTATTACGTCAACGAAATAAAGAAAATCCTTCACACCCTCACACAAAATCTAATTTTCATATTGTTTGGAAAACACACGGTCAACATAGCAATCCTTATATATATATATATATATATATATATATATATACACACACACAACATCTCAACTTGACAAAAGACCAGAAGGCGGAACTTGGCCTATCAATAGAAACCTGTGTTTAAGTCTTGAATGACTCAGTCGGCACCTTGTGAAGACGACTTAGCATGTCTTGATTTGAATTACGTTATTAAAGAAACTTCTTTTTTTTTAACTAGGGTTTATTTCATGCAGTTTATTATTTTCATGCACGTCACATTCTTTCTGCCACTTGTTAGTGATGTATAAGTGAATTAATGACAGTCAGATATTGGTTAATTAATGTGTTAATTCATCTCTCGCCATCCTTCAGCAAAATAAATATATGGCATTGGCAGCCACTAAAAAGAACACGTTACTTTTGCCGTTTGCAGGGGTGTGTAATCCAGTGAGAAGGTGGGGTTTTCATTAAACTGATAACAGCAGGGAAGTGAGCAGGTGTTTAAACAAAGCTTAAAGAGAGCCTGCCAAATGCATAAAGGGTAATAAAGTTATTTAAGGCTAATAAACACTGTGAGTGAGACATGGGCTACATCCGAAATCACACTCTTTTGAGTATGATCATTTTGAATACATCGTCTACTTATTTTGCGAGATCTAAAAAAGTATGAAATTACCATATTCACCATATTGTCATCATGTGACCTCAGGCGAATCGCTTCACTGCCATTCACAAATCCTCTCCAGAGGCCTCGTAGGATATAGTAAAGTGTCCATTTTATGCACACTTCAGCATCTTGCTATTAGCAGGTCATCCTGGTACTTTTTGTCAACTCTTAATGAGAACTGTGAATTCGGTCACACTATATAGCAGGAAAGCATTCGATTTCGGACGCAGCCATCATCTGTGAAGGTGGACATTTAAATATGTGAATACGAGACTAATAAGAGAAGAATGCTTGCCTCTGAATGTGCTACTCTGAATAGTGACACATTTTTTGGCTGTCAAGCGATCACAATTTCCCATTGATGAAAAACTAGCAAGATTCACAGATATCCAAGGAGTCCTTTAATATAAGTATCGTCATATGTGCTTTGGGCATATTTTTAGGAACTACAAACTTAAACACATAAGCCTGAAAACATTTTTTTATAAAGCATGGAAACACCAGGGGCAAGGAAAGACAGTGGCAAGGTCTGTTCTGATAGGGTTGTGGATAATTAAGCTTATACATTTTTAGAAAAAAAAAATAGATAGAAAATGCCTAAGATATGAACTGTTGTTGACATCAGTGCCCTTGTGTCCAATCAAGCTCAACAGAATTTGAATTCAGTCTAACTAGCCACTGCTAATATGGATAATACTAATACAATATTGGTCCCAGTGTTTGGTAAACCGCACTTATGCATTCGCATAATTTTACCATTTTATTACTATTTTCCCTATTGTTGTGCTATGAAAGTTTTCAATGTTTGATTTCAATGTTTGATTTCAAGGACATCTTTGTTTACAAAAACTGAGGTACTACTGTGTAGGGTTGCCACTTGATGTCCAATGTAAAACATGGATTTGGAAGCAAAACCAATTGAAAACCACTATCAACTAGGCTAATCACTAATCAACACACAGGCACACACACACACACACACACCAGTGGCTAAAACCAAAGTGACAGGTGTTTTATAATCAGTATTTATAATCATGTTTTTTGGGGTTTTTACCATTTTGTACAAAAAATGACTAAAATGTCAAGTGGTGTAACCATAAAACAAAATACTCAAGTTTTGACACTCAACACAACAGAAGGCAATTTTGAACATTGCCTCTCAAAAATAAAACGTCAAAAAGTCAAGTTAAATCAAGAAAATTAAACTATTTCTCATCATAAAAGCATTTTGTGATCTGGACTAAAAAAAACTAGAGACGTCATCGACCCATGTAGAGTCAAACAATATCGCTCTTTTAAATAGTCAATATCTTTCTCAAGAGCATATTAAAGTTCAACTTCACAGCAAAATCGCAATTATCTTGAAAAAATAATGAACCAAGTAACTGCAAGGCAGGATATTTCTGGAAAGGCAGCGTTTCACAAGCAAATGTTTCGCACATAAGCCGTGTCATTGCTGTAATGTCTGCTCGTGCACCTGCAGCGATGTCCTTCAGTCATATTTAGCTGCGCGTGAGCCATTTGAAAGATGAATTTTTAAAATTAGACCACATAGTATTTCACAGAGGATCTGCAATGCGGACACACTAGCGGATCGGTATATATAACAGTAATCACAAACAACTTGTAATCGGATAAAATGCCACAAACACAACAGCCTGTGAGGATGGAGGAAAAATCAAGCACACAGATTTGATTTGCAGGCAATATGCTCTGATTATGATGATATAACGTTACTCAAATAGCTGTGGGCTGAATACTTCTTGGCCACGGGGTGGACACTGTCGGCACAAAAGATCGTTGTTTTAAAGGATTGACACTCAAAAATAGCTGTCAAGTGAAGCGGAACCGTAAGGGAGAGTGTACATTTCACAGCTGACAGGCCACAGCCATTATTTCATGAAATCTTTCCTTTTCATGACGGAAAATTAGAGTAGAGATTGATTTTTTATAAGCAAGGATGTACGGACGCATCCAAACACTGATATTGATCGATTATTTCAGATAATTGTCAAGAAACCTTGACCGAGGGTACTCACAGGAACATGAATAACCTTTGAAATTATTTTAATTATGGGGTCATGTACCGAAGAATATTTTTTGAAACACACATTTAAATTCTGAATATAGGTATTGAATCTTACCTTTGGCTGCCTCCACCGCGCATAATAGTCCTAAAAGCAGACCGACTGCCCCACGGATCCGCATCCCGTCTTCGTAATAAAAACAGCGAACGATTTAAAAACTGTTTTTCTATCTCCTCACGCTGGATAAAATTGATTCAGCTCAGTGTTGCAAAAATATCCAGAAGATGTAACGTTATATCTCGGATTAGTGCGGTAGTTTTAAGATGGCTGCCGCCACCGCCGTTCAACTCTCTTCTCTTTCAATCACGGTTCGTTCAGCCTCTCTCTCTCTCTCTCTCTCTCTCTCTCTCTCTCTCTCTCTCTCTCTCTCTCTCTCTCTCTAACTCCGCTGCTGCATCCAACCATGTATGTATCGCTGCAGCCCGGAGACCTGCAGGTGGGAGGAGCTTACGCCGCAAGTGGGAGGAGCTTATGCCGCAAGTAGGATGGATTTCACAAATGTACAAGTAGGAGGAGTTTACTCCGCAAGTGGGAGGAGCTTATGCGGAAATCCCCAAGCATGGCTCGGCTGTCATTGCCGAGGACGGCGGTGAATGAGTATTGCAGGAAGTAGCGACAGTAATGAAAATAAACTTTTAAATATTACATTCCTCATCATGGTCTGATTTCTTGCAGCTTTGTTATTATTAATGTGTGTGTCCAATACCTCTCACTGTCAATGAAGTCACGTCTGTAAACCTTTTACCATATATACTTAGACAAGTGATGGTGTTTTAAATTCATCAGGCTGCAGGACTTATTTAAGCATATTTCTAAATATTAGCTACATATTGTACAATTCTACAGTATCAAGTAAATGAACATTAAAATCTGATGCAATTGGGACTCAGTGAAGTGAATGTGTAAATACATGAAAAACATTTGTCTAAAGGGGAAAAAAATCCCATCCATCTTTACTGCATATATATATATATTTTAATAATAGCAGACTAATGTTTTTCTGAACGTGTTATAGATCAGCGGTTCTCAAACTGGGGGCCGTGGCCCCCTGGGGGGCCACTAGACGGCGCTAGGGGGGCCGCAAAGAAATTCTAGAATATGAAATTATTTAAAAAAATTATTTTACCTGTATGTAAGTTTGGATTGTCCTATGTGAAATCTGCATTGCATGATTTCTTTTATATTGTAAAACTTGTACTGTATAAAATTGTATGTCTTCTATATTGAAAAAGTATTTCTAGAATTTTTTTTGTTTCTTGCTGAAAAAACAGATTGCTGTTCAAATTTGCAAACCAAACTTGAGCCACTGTCATTTACTACCTTAAAATGTAAGAAGTTTAATGCACTTTTTTACAATCAGCAAATTTATTTTTGAGTGTTCATCTTTTACTATGAACATCACAAATGTTCAGTATTCAATACTTTTGTTGCACTTTTCAGACAATATTACTGTTAACTGTCAAAACCATTTTTTATAAAAAAATTGTTATATTTAATGAAATGTACAATTTAACTAATTTTGTATATTCAAAGACATAAAGCTACAAACAGAACTGTTGTTCCAGCATTGTACAAATTCATTTGTTTTTGGTACAATCTAAAATTTGTAAGTAAAATTGTACGTTTGAGGATGTTTTCGTTATGAGTTTTCTTTTGGGGGGCCACAAAAGGATTCACCCTACACAAGGGGGCCTCCTCCTGAAAAAGTTTGAGAACCACTGTTATAGATAATATTACATTTAAATCTCGGGGTGGACAAATTGTGTTTTTCAATTAATAAAATCATGTACAAGTCATTCAGAATTGATTGCAAAATTGTTTATTGTATTTTATTATTTGTAGTCTTTTTTGTTATTAGTAAGGACACTATATCTCATTAGAACTGATCTGCATGCAGTGAAAACTGCAAAATCCAGGGTGGAAGGTTTTTGAATAAATGCCCTGGAGCTCGCCTCGCTTTCCCTTCCCAGCATAACCTGGTGGATACACAAGAAGCACAATAAGAACTAGGGTTTATAGCTGACATTGAACATTTACAAACATTAAGAATAATTTCTCAGCACTGTAGGTCCATGCTAATGCCATGCAAGTGAATGGTGTCCAGAACTTTTAAACTCCAAGGGATGACAAGTAAATTTGATTTTTAGTTTTCCTTTAGACTAACAACTAGTTTATTCATCACCAATTTACACAAAACATACCAGGTGTGCAGCATTTGTAGTCAAACCCACACTCCAAACAAGTGGAGATTGAGTACATCCTCCAGAAGAGCTGTTTGTAGTGAGACGACTTATTTTTCCAGCATGTAACACCTAATGGGGAAAATAAATGAGCATAACATTTAACATTCTCAATGATGTTCTTGTTATGCATTTTATTTTTTAATGTCAATATTTACTTTCTAGCCATAAGAAGTGTGCCTGATTCCTGAAATTGCCATCCCCAACTATGTCCCTGAACCTTGAGCAAGCCAATGACAGGGGCATGTAGGCAGCATCTCCTTCTTGAAGAACAACTTCAAGAAGTATGTTCTTCAGCAACACTCCTGATAACTGAAAATATAGCAACAGTTAGCACAGGCAGTTAAAAAAAATGTTAAAAAGCACATTATATAACATTATTCAACTACCTTGAAGATGAAGCATGATGGAGGGTCATCGTCTTTTAACAGCTCATCCTTAAAGAAAAATAAGTGGATTAAAATTGTATGATACACATTTTAAATCATCATTAAAATTGATTTTGCATACCTTGCTAAAAACAGAGGGCACAACTGGGGTTTGGTCTGCTAAAATGAAGTCATTTAAAATGAGCGGACCAATATTATAGTTACATAATTTGAAAGATTGATTGGAGATCATAAAATCTCCTATTCATAGTGAATATAACAATAATATTTTCGTCAACTTACATCCATGTACCACCACCCAAGATAAATGGGACTGAAGGTGGCCTGTTGCCTGGAAGTTCTCATCAAATTTTATACTGTCCTTAGGACAAAGTGGACAGTGAAATTTTGTGCACTTGAGGCACTGGTATGCCTCAAGAGTGTCCTGCACATCTTTCACTGATAAGTGAACCTAAAACACAATAACACGCGTTTCACATTTATTTCACTGATTGTTTTGAGTAATACATTTTATAAAATAATTATGATATTAAAACAAATGTTTCATTACATTGTGGATTACACAGAAAAAAGCATAACTACAATGAAAACAAGTTTTAATAGAATTGCATGCATTGTACAATTAAATTAGGAGTTATAATGTCATTCTAATATCAAATCCATTTACAAAACGTTTAAGACATTTACGTTTTGAAAATCAATGCAGTCCTAAAACGTACAAAAATTACACTGCTACAATACCTTATTATGGTCTTCAGAATCCATAATCTGGAGAGAAAATTGTAGAAATGAAATGCAGAAAAGATCTCGTCATGCACGTTACAGATTTTGTAATTTGCGAGCAACTAAAAAAAAAAAAAAAACAGAAATTCATTTGGATACGCTTTATACCCATATTCTTTACACTCATTTAATCAAGACTAAAAACAGTGTACAAACGACATTATAAAATGGTCTTTTCCAGAACTTATAATGCTATTTTTAAAAAACGAAAAAATGTAGGCTACAAGCTTACCCCTTCATCTCAACAGCACGCTGACGGCTGACATGTGTAAACGCGGTTTTCTTCTTTGTTTTCTGATTCTGATGGATCGCAACAAAATTTACACATTACCGCCACCAACTGTGGAGCTATTACAACACCGGCGATATTAAAATAAACCAATCAAAATTCTCTAGAAGTTTGTACAGCCCACTTGCGGCAAAAGCTCCACCCACTTGCTGCTAACCCACCCATTTGCAGCTGGCTCCATCCTCCGTTTATACCCAACTCCATCCAACGGGAGCGGTGACGGGCTGACGTCACGACTGTTATTGTGGGAGTGCGGGCCGCCCGCTTTGCCCTTTGCATCAAGACAGAAAGAGGGTGTGGATTTGTCAAAAAGATGCGGTGTAAAACACAGTGTTCTCCAATACTGCTTAATCGACCGTGATTAATATGGTTTAGTGTCGATGATTGAGCTAGCTTGTATGAGGGTGTCAACTCGATAGATTATTTTATATTTTCAGTAGGATAATTTTACACGAAGATGGGCTGTTTCAGTGATAATGACATTCTATTGGAAGGATAATAAATAGGCCTACATGTTGCCAAATGTGAAGTTGTAGACCTACCTGAGATAGCCTATTGTTAGCTAGTTTCAAGCTAATCTTGCTACCAAAAAAAGCTTATGTGAAAGGTGTTGCTAGTTTTTGTTATCATGGTGGAGTTGGGACACAGGCAAACCTATAAAATCATTACCAATCACAAGTCTGCAAGTCAATGTTTGTACAATTATTTATAACTCAAGTCACACCCATACTGACTTGTGCTGTTGTGATAAAAGAAAGCTAATATGATTTCGATCTTTATAAATGGTGAGTATAACAGGGAAGATCCAGCTACCCTGTTTATCTGAATTAAATTCGTTGAATGTGTTTTTTAGTAGAAATTACAAGATTCTGAAATATAGAAAAGAACATGATGGATGGAAGATAAAAATTATTTTTAAAAAGTTATTTTGTAATTACTAAAAAAGCTTAAATCAGCTGCAGGCTGAATTTCTTTCAGTTTGTTAAGATCTTTGATGGAACTCATTGCTAAATCACACGTACATTGGAAACATTGATTTTTCTCCACCCTAAAAATAAAATACAGCATTCTTTTTAAATCCAATCATTTCTGCATACAAATTAGACATGCATTACATAGATTTTTTTCCATCAACAGAATTTGAGTTCCTTTTTAATTTATTTTGAAGGATGTTTAAAAAGAATATTTATAAAGAATATCAGATAGAAAGTGGGGGATGGAGAAGTACACGTCTGGGAATGGATTGTCTCAAATGAGAGGTAAGAGGTCAGATATCTTTGAGGAGGAAGTTATGGTTATTAACACTTCCCCAGATGCTGATGGCTATACATTTTATTATATACTGACTGCAACTCTTAAGTTTAATTTCTAAATAAAATAAAATAATAATTTTCGACAACATATAGCTTAGCTGGTCTCTTTGCAAACAATGTAAATGTTTCTGCATTCAACACATCCTAAACATGTTAAGAATCAAGTGTTCATCAATGCAAAATAAGACAGGGAACAAAGGGCACTGCATGACACCTTTGTACTTCCTGAAACACATTCAGATGAAGGTAGAAGATTGCTATCGTCAAGAGAACGTGAGAGACATTGATTAGCGTGAGTCATCGCCAGGCCTACAAATAATCTGTCCAGTGTTCGTTCAATAGATATTTTGCTAACTTGATTGTGATTCACTCCCCAAATAATCATATAACAGGTTTGCAAAATTAAAAGGAACGAACAGTGTCTTTTCTGGTGGGATATAATGAGACATTTCTTGGAGCTCAAGAAATTAGTTGTTTGCTTGCCGAGCCCACCTGTGGCTGTGTTCACATGGTGATCTGTTATTTTGTTTTTTCCCATCTCTCTACCATTTCTACAGTGAGTCATCCCACATGAGTGAAACAGCACTTCTCGTGCAAAGTTTCAAGACATCAAAAAACATCAAAGACACTATTCTCAGACTGAAATCACTCAATTCTCCCAACATGATTAAGCATCCCTGCCTCGAAGTGAGCAAGAACTTGAAATCTCCATCTCTTCAGGTTAAGCCTTCCCTTCAGAGACTATGGGATTTAGAACTAGAGTTCATCACTTCAGTAGAGAGATGATATGCCACTGCTCTTCTTTTATATATATATTCTTTTATATCAAGCTTCAGCCTCTATCTTTGTTTCCTTGTTTCCAATAGTAACAGACTGCAGAATAGGCAGTCGGTCTTTTGTGATTGAGGACGTCTGTAAAAAAAAAAAAAAAACAACAAAAAATGTTCCTTTGCTAACAGGATACGGGTATATACTATTTTACGTTAACATAATGTTAAAGCTGTCAAGATGCACCAGACGACTGATTTAAAGTGCTTTGAATTATACAAAGGCAGCTGTCTTACTTGAGGTGACCTTTGGATATTGTCCAGTCTCACTCTAAGTGAGATAAATAAATCGAATAAAGAGAGTTGCTATCAGTTGACCTTTACATCAGGATGATAATTGACAGCACCAAATCCAACCCTTGTTTTTTTTTTTTTTTTGCAAACCATGAAAAAACAAACCGTAAAGATCATCTCTCACTTCTAACTGTACAAAAAAATCTGAAGTCTTTGTAAATCTTAAATGCTATGGTACTTGTCATCTTGTTGGTTCAACCATGACAAGATTTCAGTCCTTGTGTGTCCAGGCAATTAATCACTCCCTCAGTCTCTTTCAGTCTTTATGAAAGGCCACACAGTTTCTACCTCCCCAGCCTGGAGAATGTTCTAGAACACAAACTTACCTCAATTAAAGTTGATGTATTTGTTTTTCTTGCAATACCAAATTCAGTTTAACAGTTGATGGTGGGGCCATTTTTACCTATAAGCCTTAATATAACCACAATTGCAAGCCTTATGTTGCATGAGCCATTGGTGCACATTATTCCGAAGAAAAAAAAAAGGTCTTCACATTCACAAAATCTCTGAAAAAACTTTCCTTTTCATCTCTTTTCAAGACCTTTTCAAGTTCGATCTCATTGAAAATCCTCTTTCAGCAATTCATCTTGGCTTATGAAATATGAATATAATCTGAAATACAGTTTATGTTGAAATGTTAATTCATATTAATGTACTACCATTCAAAAGTTTGGGGTCAGTAAGATCTTTTTTATAAAGACTAATAATTATATTCCGCAAAAATGCGAATTATATCATAACATAAACAAAAATATGAAGCAGCACAACTGTTGAGCATCAAATCACCATATTATGATTTCTAAAGGGTCATGTGAAACTGAAGACTGGAGTCGTGATGCTGAAAATTCAGCTTTGCATCACAGGAATAAATTACATTTTAAACGATACTAAAATAGAAAACAATTATTTTCTTGATGTGCATGAGAATTCTTTCAAAAACTACATACTTACCAACCCCCAACGTTTTAACAGAAGAGTGTATATGGAATAATCTGAATGCAAATATGAAGGGTAAATCTAGATCTGACCATCTTGTGTCTCCTCTTTATCAATGTTGAAACTACACAAACCTATCACTTACATAAGTTGCCGTTATTATGAAAGTAGAAAGTTCCATTGGTCTAATTGGAAGTATTATTCCCTTTTTTTTTACAAACTTTGGCTCTCAATCCATTATTGTTAGCGAGCTCGTAGTTTCAAATTCTCTTTTGTGCAATAATTCTCTTTGGATTATCATAATAGAGGCACAATTTTCCTCCCTAACTCTAGACTTTCTTTGTTTTTGAAATCCGGTGTGAGACTATGTTGTTCTTGAATCTGCCCTGATTTTGAATCCACAAAAGAGGAGAAAGACTCAGTTGTGGGTGTCTTTAAAACTAGCTTTGAGACGTGAAAACAGATAACAGTACCCCGCTGAAAGTGTTCGTGGATAATAGGCTTTCAGCTCTCCGCCTCTTGTGTGTGGTCGCCAACAAAAGAGAGAGGAAGAACTGGAGTGAGACTTCTCAAATAACACATTACAAAGATTGATGCACTGGTTCAGTAGGGACAAATAAATGTTCACACCTCTGAAGTTTTGACAATTACATTTTCCTCCTGAATATTTCAGCTGTAGTCTGTCATTCTGTTCTTAGTACTCAATAGTTTGATTGGCCGTATGAATGTTTAAATCATGGTAATTTGCGATAAGATGTTGGTGCTTAAAACGAGTCCATCCATATTGTGGTAGATTCATGTCATTAGCTTTGCCTCAATTCTATTTCATGCATATTAAACAGAGGGTATTCGTGATTCGTTCATTCCAATCTTCACACTAAACGCACATCAACTGTCTGTACTTCTCCACAAGGTCATTTACTCCTTAAAGGAAGAGATCACGCAAAAATTAAAATTGCATCAAAATAACAAATCGCAACGTCCAATTTGAATCAGAACTTGTCATTGAATTGGTTGAACCAGTTCATTAAACTGGTCTGAATGATCGATTCACTGTCCAGAATTGAGGTACTGTATAATGAACGATCTTAATGACTCAAAGAACTCAACAGCACAATGGCTTGTTTTGTTTCTCCCATAAAACTCAAATAAAAAAATCATATGGACCACTTTTATGAAGGTTCTTGTGTGACCTTCTTTTGTTTCTAAGCTTTGGCCCGCTAAGCTTTGAAATGATGATCAAATTTTCATTTCTGGGTGAACTGTCCCTTTAAGAGCATAACCTTCAGCATGTTATTTTCCCGTAAGCTTCCCTAGCTATGGCAGATATTAAAATATAGATATACAATGCCATTCACAACATTACTGTTTTGTTTTTGCTTTTTTATCAAATAAATGCAGCCTTGGCGAGCATAGGTAACACTTCTTTTAAAAACAATCTTATCCCAAACTTTGGAACGGCAGTGTATAGGCTATATACAGACATATAATTGATTGCTGATTTAAACCATCATGCTCAAATAGGCCTACATCATATTTTAGGTTAGCATTTCAAAGGTTTTGTTGCAGCCCTTCTTGTACAAACATGTCACACACTCACAACCTGCGAGACAGAGCTGTCAGAGGCCTGTCAATTATTGAGATCTTCTTTTCTGAGGTGTTGCTACTCTGCTGTGAAGAACATTTTCATCTGTTGCCTGGCAGAGGTGTCCTCTGAGACAAGACAGAGTGTGTCAGAGTTAAACTGAACTGAAGACAGGAGCTGTAGTCTTAAAACCACAAGGTCTTATTAAGACAGATCTCAATGTCTTGTGGTTAAATCTGG